CACTCAGGTTCTTGACTTCGAGAAGGGTCCTCCTGGGATTTAGTGGTAGATTAAGTGGTAACTCTTAATTGTATCATTAGAAACCCCTGTTTTTAATTGGTTTCTAAATCCATCGCTATCCTTCCCCCCATAGCGACAATTTCGCGGTTTTTGATGTCATCTCCCGCATTCCGACCTCATGCGGTCTGTCGACACTCACAGCGGAACCCTCAGTATTCACTGTCTACTATTAGTTCGGTCGTACCTCCCTTCCTCACTGCTCGGCTGAGCTCGAAGCGTGCTGTGGCCGATCGCATCTCGGTTCCTCTCGTCTGGCCTCTTTGACGCGGCGTACCAATCCGGCCCAGACGATCTCAATTGTGAATCCCGTATACAATGCCATTTGCAAGCCAGTCCTGTCTGACCCACATTCGTACCCATCAAGGCGGACATTTATTGATACCCTGACGATGACCGACAACATTCCGTTATATACCGCCACCTACAGGCCAGTCCTGCTCGCTTTTTTTCTGTTATTATTTTTAAAGAGGGGTTTTTTCTCCTGTAAAATTAATCCAATCATTTTTAACTTTTTCTAAGGAGTTTGTTTCACCCCTCAATCATCATGTTTCTCAATGGACTTCTAATTTAGAAACTAGGAATTGCATTTTGTAAAGATTCGGCCTACCTCGTCTACAACTCGCATGCAAATTTATTTTAACTTGCTTTGATGGGACCCCGACGGGTCTTTAATAAAAATTATCTATCTATCTATAACCGACCGCATCTGGGTTCCTATCGCCTCGAGACTGGTTTTCAATTTCGCCACTATTTGCCTTATTTAAGGCCACATACAGGCCAGTCCTGACCGACCCGCCTACTTACCCCTTCATGAAATCCGTTATACAATGCCATACACAGCTGACATTTATTTCTGTCCTGACGATGTCCGACTATAATCCATTCTATACCGCCACATGCAGGCCAGTCCTGTCTGCATTTTTCTGTTTCTATTTTTTTCGAGGGTTTTTTTTTTCTCCTGTAAAATTAATCCAATCCTTTTTAAATTTTGATATGGAGTTTTTCACCCCTAGCTTATCATTTTTCTTAACGGACTTCTAATTCAAGAACTATGTATTGCACTTTGTACAGATTTTGCCTATCTCGTCTAAAATTCGCTTGTTAATTTATTTTTTTCTTGCTTTGATGGGACCTAGACGGGTCTTTGATAAAAATAATAATGATTATTATTACTATATACAGTTTGGTGGAGGAATGCGCCAACGGCAGTGCTGGAAGCGCCGGTAATGAGAGTTAGGGGGCATCTGGGCGAGGGTGAGCAAGTAGAGTTACATTAGCAAGAGCGTTCTTGACCTCATTGAAGGATTTGACGGCCTCAACAGACGTAGGCAACGGTTTTTTGGATTGGGTCCGCAGGTTGTTGAGAGGTTGCAGAATGGCGGCCGCATGAGGGAGAAAGCAGTGGTAGAAGTTCACCATCCCCAAGAAACAGCGCAGTTAATTGATGGTTTTCGGGACCGGGAAATCTGATACGACCGAAGCTTTATCAGGGACAGGCTTCATTCCCTCAGAATCTACTACATGACCCAAGAAAGTTAAACTGGGGACTCCGAACTCCCATTTGGCGGCATTAATGATAACGCCGTAGGAACATCATAACCATTATATAAAAATAATTTATTTGATACCAATTTACAGGCATTGTCAAGGAAAGCGATTACAAAAATCCAACTAGCAGCGAAAAAAACTCCTGAGGTAAGGGAATAAAAATATAGTTGATGGTGGTTTTATGGATTGGAGGGTTCAGGAGAAAAAAACTGCTGGCGACAAGCATTCGACCGTCAGGAATGGAGGAATTGCACGGTATCGGAGATTATCGGACGTCAATTCCTTTCATGAAGTTGGGGATAGTCAGAGTAGAGGCGTTCAGGAACAGCTGTCGCTGTTGGCCAACGAAATTTTCCATGGTGAGACATGTGATAGTGTTCAGAGACCGCAAACGTCATTGCTACGTTAGAGTCGATCAGTGGATTCAGCACCCAAAATTTGTGGGAGCTTTTCTGAATGCAAAAATCGAGTAATAGTTTTATTAAATAAATGATAATTTTGCAGAGTTTTCACACTCATGGGTAGTTTATTCCAAATAGCAATTGCATTTACAGAATAGAACCGACGATATTTAGCAGTACGTGCCAGAGGAAGAAATAAAAAGACCTCACGGTGACTGTTACGTCGGGAGTGGGCATGATGCCTTAAAGAGGTGAGTGGGTTAAATGTGTGACTATATAATAGTTTAAATAACAAAAATAGTCCTTTTTGTAACCTACGGAACCATAAAGGATCAAGGCCCGTAAGCCGGCAACGTTCTTGGTAAGACTAATTTCGGTGTTTTGAACTTTTGCAGGATAGCTTGAATATACCTCGATCTAAAAAGACCTTTGATAATGTCCCCCATAAAAGACTACTGATAAATTAAAAAAGTTATGGAATTAGGCCTTCTTCTCGGTTTTCTTAAATCCTAACTTTAAAACCGATATCAAGTGGTGCAAATTCGAAAAGTAGTCTCAAATACATAACCATTCGCCATCCTGGCGAATCATTTGGTCTCGCCAAAATATCTGGTGCTCCCGTAATGGTATATTGCAATCACCGATGTTCTATCATGACCACATTTTCCTCACCGATAGAAAATCTGGAGATACATCTGCTATCGTGATTTTCAGTTACTCCAGCCTCGAGAGCCAGCTCCAGTTGTCGGTATACAATACTTTAATTAAAAGCATTCGGCAGTGCTTACTTTACATTCTGTCGGTCAATATATTTGGAGTAAATGACAGAAGCCCTGAAAACTCCATTTAAACGGTACAGGTGTGAAGGAGAACAGTTAAATTTCAATAAATTTTGAGTGAAGATTTAGTGTGCAGAATGCACAGATCTAACCACAGAACATAAATACGAAAAAGATGTGGCATTTGCGAAACAAATGCGAAAAATCGCTCAATGCATTCCCATTGGGAAAATTTTCACAATGGCAAAGTTGATGTCCACAAAAGGATCGGTTGGATCCATGTTAGTATTGTTTTGATAATCATCTCAGTAATCCACTAGGTCAGGCTTGGGGAGTTCGGGTTGCCTTTTAACAGGTGATTATCCAGATGACTCTTGAACACACGGTAAGGGAATTAACAACATACGTCGGCAAAGAGTTCCATTGCTGAATGACCCTCTGCTGGAAAAAGGGTAACGTTGATTTGTGTGGCACAGTCACTTTTTAAGCTGTTAATCGTTTCGTCTGAAATTAGTCTTAGGTGCCATTTCAAAAGGAGTTTCCCAGTCGACATCCAGATCAAGTCCTCTTTGCAACTGAAACGCTGCTATGAGACTGTAACTGCAAGCCAGCATGACCGGTCTGGCTTCATTGTTCAAGGCAGAAGTCGCTGCATCAAGGTAATTCACCCCTTGCAGCAAGCCTTTTCAGACGAGCTGACCTGAAGTCACCCGACCAACCGCTCGGGCATACCTGCGTCCGCGCAGTCGCAGCCACCCATGCGGCCACTTGAACGCGCCACCGCCTGCAACCCGCAAAACAGGCCACCGGGACACCACCCCTCGGCAAATGCAGCACACACTGACTGGACACCACTTGAGCTTGGCCCACAAGACTGCAAAAGTGACTGCCATCACTATCACGGGGGCTCGCAGGCCTGACTGGGTGCAGTCAACACCAGCCCTGGCTTCGCCAGTGGTCACTGCCGCCTGAGAGGACAACTCCGGTTTCTGTGCACAATAAACCCCTCACTCTGGTGCATTCTGTCTTCTCCTTCCAAAATAAGATTAGCCCTGATTATGGTGGCGCTCAGACTGCACACACGTACATTGCATAACCACCACAATTAGGTTTTGCTGGTTGCAGGGGGTGGCGCGTTCAAGTGGCCGCATAGGCTGCTGCGGCTGTGCGGACGCAGGTGTGTTCGCGCTGAATTCGGTCGAGTGGCATCAGGTCAGCGCGTCTGGGACGGCTCGCTGCGAGGGGTGGATGACCTTGAGACAACGAGATCTTGAACAATGACGTCCGACCGGTCATG